CAAAGTTTTAGTACCGCTTTATAAAACCCTAGTAAGACCATGCCTGGAATACTGCAACCAATTTTAGTCACCACGCTACAAAAAAGTTGTTGAGACTTTGGAAAAAGTTCAGAGAAGAGCAACTAAGATGATCAAAGGCCTGGAGACTAAAACATATGAAGAATAGCTGCAGAACTTGGATTTGGCTAGTCCAGTGGTGGCGAACCTATGGCACAGGTGCCAGAGGCAGCACTCAGAGCCTTCTCTGTGGGCACGCGCACCGTCGCCCCAGTCCTAGGCCTTCAGCTGGGTTTTATAAAACCTTTTCACTTTAGGACTCTGCCGCCGTGTGCAAAAAAAAAAAAGGTTCAATCAGTCAATTTCAACTTCTCGCGGGGAAAAAAAAGATCTTGCAAAGTTGGAATTGATTGATTGAACTTTTTAGTCCCACTCAGTCTGCCGTTACCACCGCAGCCCCACCCACCCAATGGGCCATGCCCAGCCCATGGGCCACACCCACCCAGCACTCGACGATGCATAAGTGGGTTTTGGGTTGCAGTTTGGGCACTCAGTCTCTAAAAGGTTCGCCATCACTGGGCTAGTCTAAAGAAAAGAATAGGGGTGACATGATAGCAGTCTTCCAGTACTTGAGGGGCTGCCACAAAGAAGAGGGGGTCAAATTATTCTCCAAAGCACCAGAAGGCAGGACAAGAAACAATGGTTGGAAACTGATCAAAGAGAGAAGCAACCTGGAATTAAGGAGAAACTTCCTAACAGTGAGGACAATTAACTAGTGGAACAGCTTGCCTTCAGAAATCGTGGGTGCTCCATCACTGGAGGTTTTTAAGAAGAGACTAGACAGTCACTGTCTGAAATGGTATAGGTTCTCCTGCTTGAGCAGGGGGCTGGACTAGAAGACCTCCAAGGTCCCTTCCAGCTCTATTCTATTCTAAATATATGCTCATTTGCACATTTCTAATCCAGAAAGTTTGAATCTGGAGAGAAATGAGGGTGAATGCATACTTATTGTGCTTTAGGGAGGTCTATTTAACATAAAACCAGAAGAACAAATACTAATCAGACAATATTGCACCATATAAAATAGCAGCCTATAGACATATTACCTTTTTATATTTCTGAATTCAAAAAGTATTGACACAAGATTTTGTATTTATCCATTTTTATTAATAATGTGATTCTATCAACAGTTCATTTTAAAAATAATCAGATCTTTCTCCCAGCTATGCCTAAGCAATTATTAGAATACAACACTGATTTTAAGCAACATTGTTAATCCATATACATTGTATACCCATACCCAGAGTTTATAAGTGACAGTGCTATATGCCCAACTAATGCCATTATTTTGTATACATAACTGTAGAGAAGTATTTAAATCCAGCTTTGTGTCTGTAAATTTTTCAGAACCCCAGTAAAAAGCTTATTCTAAGAGAATGAAAATGTCTACTTCCTGATTCAGATTGTTCTTAAGGGTCAAAGTTAACACAATGCACCTGATCCAATGTTTGAGTTCTCATTGTTGGCTAACAAAATAGCTTCATGGAACAGAAGCTCAGGGCAGTGATTAGATTATCAGAATGCCCTTTACATGCTGCTACCATTGAAGATTATTCAAAAACAGCTGTTGTTGCAAAATGAAGTAGCCTGTTTGCTGGCAGATGAAAGCTCCTACTCACACATAACATGTACTGATTTTGCAATGGTTCCCAATCGGTTCTGGCTACAATTCAATGTGCTAGTTTTGCTCTGTAGAAAAACTACAGATCAAGCTGGGTATGTTGAAGGTTCCTTCCCCACAACAAGAGCCTTGTAAGGTGAGTTACAAGGTGAGTTGGGCTGAGAATTTTGTTCACTTGATACATTAAGAAAGTCCTTTGACTGGTTATCCTGGCCTTTTTGCCCCCACCCACACCCCCCATGAATGCTCCCATCTGGAAATAGTGCAACTGTTCCAAATGTTTTTTACTTCAGGAAAATGTGGTAGTTGGGGAAGTTAGTCAGGATTCTAACAAATACGCAGTACTGTACAGGGTGACCTCAACTTTTTATGTATTTACTTATAGGGTTTGTTTATTGCCCATCCTATTTGATTCTCAGCATCCGGTTTATAGTACTCCACCTAAAATAAACTGTCCTTGACAATGGAAGCTGGTTAGCAGCATTCTGTTTTATGTTTTAGACTAGAGTATGAGAGAAAGGGGCTATAGTCGGCTGGGTTCCTGGTCCTCCCTTCAGATTCAAGGTCCTGTCCCACACTTCCTGTCTCATCCTTCTGCTGTTTTATTCTTTCCAAGCCAACAAATCCAGACTCTTGATTTTACCACAGCTCACAAAATCTCTTGGATAGCGGTTCATTTTGAAAATGTCCCTGGACACTTCTTTAATGTGTGTGTTGTCACAAATGACACGGGAAAATGAATCACTTGTCAGAGCACGGCGCTGCCATGAAGTGAAGACGTCACGGTTCTCCCACCAATATCTGCCAAAAAAGGTGAAAAATTTCAATAGATGAATAATGATAGGAATCATAATAGAAATAATAAAAATGACTTGAGGAAGTAAAAATAATGCTTCAGTGAGCCAAAAGCTGAAGGATTAATCAAAGAAAACCATTTCTTTTGGTGAGCTTTGGTCACAGCAGGGAAAAACAACTAACCATTTTGGCTGAACTTGAAAAATATTTCTATGGGAGACCATCAGAAACAGTGTTGGTAATTTACTGATTGCCTTGACAGTGTGCATAAAGAATAGTTGGTTGTAACTTCAGTTAACTTCTTTGTAGCTTAACTTGTCTCATCCTAGCCTGTTTGGTTAGTTTATAACACCATGAATTCAGAAATGAATAGATTCAATTTCCAACTTAGATCTGATGGTTCACTGCCAACCTGAAGAAGGAGGAGGACCAGGTTATCTGTTACACAGCAATGGACTCTTCCATTTGGTGATGGTTTTGCAGATGGTAGCTATACTAACTTCAAGTCCTGCAGAATGTTTGAATTCATCTTTACTGCTAAAATCCAAACCAGAATGTCCTAGCCCTGGTATCAGCTTGACCAAAAAGCTCTCAATAGCCTACAAGTGTCTGGAAGCTGCAGTTGGTTCTCAAATGCTTGGGTATAACAAAGTATGTTTTTTTAACACCAACGTTCTGTGCTAAGCTGTTTCCAGTACTTTTTCAGGTGCAATTCCAGTGCTGGTCATCACCTTTAAAGCCAGCCCTGGAGACCAGATAGACACCTGTGGACTACAGAGTGGACATGCTCCAGGTCCATTTGGTAAAGAAGTGTCATCCTATGAGACCTGAGCGGCATGACTTTTCTATAATAGTGCCGGCCCTGCGAACATTCCCCAAATCTGTTAGTCTTTCAGAAGGCCTTAAAAAACTGGATCTTCCTTCAGGCTTTAAAGGCCAGGTGGTTAGTGGAATCTGGTTTATATAAATTGTTCTTTGTTGATTACTTTTCTCAATTGCAGCATCTATGCTTTGGAACAGCACCTGCTTCTCTCTTCAAGATTCCTCTGGCCCAAACTTAGCTCTTTTTAAAAGAGCCTTAGAAACATGGTTCTTAGTGAGTGGCTATTACTTTGTCCTTTTTTGGGTTGGAATGATTGTTATTTTCCACATTTGAGGTTTCCCATTTGTATTTTATCTGTATTTTATTACTGCTTTTGATTGTATGCTACCCAGAGGCATTAAATAGTTGGGCAGCCATATCAATAATTCAATTACATAAATGAACAAAGAAATGAATAAAATTTTGCTTGGCTATTTTTTAAAATTCTTTTTAGACTTGTGTTTTGTTTTCATTTTTTGTTAGCCACCCAGAATTATTTAAGTCGTATAAATTTGAGAAATCAATCAATCTGATAGGAGTCTATAATCATTGACAATGACCTGCACTCTTTCCTCCCATATTGTGCTCAGCAATTCCCTATTATCTGCTATTTCAACTGACTGAAAATATAAAAAGTATATTGTATTTGAAAATATAGTAGGCACAACCATAGGAGGAGGCCTCTAGGCTGTGGCAGAGAAAACAGGCTGGAAATCCTGCCATTCTATCTCAGTCAAAAGATGCTGAGCAAGTGACAATCTCATCAACTTCAGCTACAAAATCCATAGTGCAAGACAATGATCATAGTGAGATAAATGATAATTAAAACTACCCTATCATACAATCACTTAAAGATCAAAAACAATTATAGCTATGAAATCACTGGTGACATCTGGATTTGGCATACAGTTTTCTCTTGATATATATAAAGGATTTGAAAAACACCCACCGGTCGCCATCTCTGATTTTTCTAAACTGAGCTCCGATGAGACAAGCCAAGAGCGGTCCCACTCGCCCGTTGGGGACAAAGGGCTCAGCCATTGCCCCAATCCAGATGTCAATATTTTCTGGTGTCCCATAAAGGTTGATGAACTGCTTTGCCAGTTTACGATTGCGAAGGACTACAGCAAGCTGGGCTTCGTTGCTGGGAGCAAAGAGGCCACAAAAACGTCTCCAGGCATTGTACCCTACAAGGAGGAGCAATCATCATTATGGATAGGGAGGTTCCCATGTTAAAAAAAGGGCAGGGCTGTATTTGCATATTCACAGCTGCCATCTTGAGTTTTTTCCCTTTCTCCAGGTATCCCTAGTTACAACTGATCCCACTTGTGTTGCTGGATTTGCCCAAAACAGGAAACAAATCTGATGTATGTTTTAAGAATATAAAGAAAAAAGTGACTTTCCCGCACAATTATTTCTAGAATGCTGTAGGATCTGCTAGCAGGCATTACATAATAGCCATATTTTTAGTATGTCTGTCAGGCTGGGATTCATTTTGGGTCTATTCTATTCTAAAAATTAGTGAAATTATGCACATCAATAGGGTCTGGACAGGGCAGGGCTGGGTAAGTTAGGGTAACAGGAAAGAAAAATTGCCCATAAAGTGTAGAAGTCTTCTCCTACTTCAGATTTGTTGGAATTGCAATTCCCAGATTTCATCAGTAAGCCCACTTGGAATTCTGGGAGTTATGGTCCCACCAGATCTGGAAGCTGTTAGGTTAGAAGGAAGACAAGAATGTCTACATCTACATGTAGGGAAGTAAACAGTGGGGTACCCCAAAGTTCTGTTTTATGCCCAGTACTCAACATCTTCATAAACAATTTAGATGAGGGAATAGCACAGGACATCAAATCTGCAGATGACACTAAACTAGCAGGAATAGCCAGCACCCCAGAAGATAAACTCAAGATCCAGGTGGATCTCGACAGAACTGAACACTGGGACCTATCTAACAAAATGAAATTTAATGTAGAGAAAAGTAAGGTTTTACACTTAGGCAAGAAAAAACAAATGTACTAGATGAGGTGAAACCTAGCTCAATACCAGTAGCAGTAACTAGGATCTTGGAGTCTTAGTGGACAAACACTTAAACATGAGACAGCAGTGTGCAGCAGCAGCTAAAAAAGCCAATGCAACCTAGGATTGTGGTTTTTTTTTTGGCTGCTGCACACTGCTGGTTCATATTTAAGTGATTGTCCACTAAGACTCCAAGATTAACAGAGGGATAGAATCAAGATCATATGAAGTATTAGTATTACTACATAAAGCCTTAGTAAGACCATACATATTGCATCCAGTTTTGTTCACATATTATTAAAAAAAATGAAAAAAGCAACAAAGATGATTAGGGGACTGGAGTCTAAAACATATGAAGAACAGTTGCAGGAATTGGGTATGTCTAGTCTAGTGAAAAGAAGGACTAGGGGTGAGATGATAGCAGCACTAAGGAGAAATTTCCTAACCAGTGGAACAATTTGCCTTCCAAAGTTGTGGGTGCTCCATCACTGGAGGTTTTTAAGAAGAGACTGGACAACCACTTATCTGGAATGGTAGCGCCTCTTCTTGGGACAAGAAGACCTTCAAGGTCCCTTCCAATTCTATTATTCTGTTAGGACTGATTTGGACAGCCTTTCTTACTATTCAAAGGACAATGATAAATCTGCTTTTACAATAAGCCATTCTACCTGGCAAACCATGGTCTCGTCCCCTCTGCAAGTTCAGAGCTGATAGATCAAGACCAATATGTTCCAATTGTGCAAAGAGCCGTTCCTGAAGCTCCTCAACCATCATCTGGTTCTGCCTCATCAGCTTGGAATAGTCTGCCATGAAGCCACGAACAAGGGGGTCAATGCCACCTACAAGAGAAAAGCAACAGTGGCCTCTGAAAGGAAAGTATCTTCTAACCAAGGCTTCCAGAGCTTTAGACTTTTTTTTAATCAGTAGCTTGCTTTCTACATTTAAATTCAACATATAACTCTCTGGTATACTCATTTGAGGAGAGCTAGTTAGGTGTTGGTGACTTCTAGGCACACAGCCAGGTGGGTTCATGAACCTTGGGTTCATCACTCTCTTTCAACCCTAGGAAGGAGGAGGCAAAGGCAAACTGTTTCTAAAAAATATTTCCAAGAAAAATACAGTAACTAAGGCAGGAGTCAACAGTGACTTAAAAGAGAGAAAAGAGAAAAAAGAAAGGAAAAGGAAAAGGAAAAGGAAAAGGAAAAAGGAAAAAGGAAAGGAAAGGAAAGGAAAGGAAAGGAAAGGAAAGGAAGAGGGAGGGAGGGTAGAAAGAGAGAGAGAGAAAGGAAGGAAGGAAGGAAGGAAGGAAGAAAGAAAGAAAGAAAGAAAGAAAGAAAGAAAGAAAGAAAGAAAGAAAGAAAGAAAGAAAGAAAGAAAGAAAGAAAGAAAGAAAGAAAGAAAAAGAAATTTGATACAGGGTTTAACAGTTCTAAAGTTGCCTTATGATTTATTATTACATTGGCACAATTAGGCTCGTAGTGTTTATCCCATGGAAGGTCAAAATATATCTACCTTTGTGGTTAGGCTACATCTTTAATCTTCCCTTCCACTATTGGCCATGTTGGCAAGACTAAACAGGATTAGAACTCAATAACTTGGTCCATATCAAAAGATCATAATCTGTGACCCCATGGTCCTAGCGAGTTCCCCAAATCTTTGAGACTCAGAGCTGTTTCAGAAGCAGCTGCTAATTTATCGTGTGTAATGTGGCAACTGGTGACAATTATATAAGATATGCAGCATAATCATCAGATTAAGTATATGCACATAGTTTAAATTAATCCATTATAATATACATTTGAATTAAATGAACACAAACCACAGTTTGGAATGCAGCAGCCAGCAAGACATGAAAATGAGGACCTCAACCTGGAAAATGTGCTTATTCTGATCTGCCTCCAGGTGTTTCCCCAGGTCCCAGTATTTCAGTTACTCCTTACATTTCTGCCCTGATGGCAGAAGCCCCCAAAGCTGGCAGTTGGTCCCCTGCTTTAAAGATTTCAGTCTCCTTGAAATGTCATTGTAGGGCAGCCCTATGCTTCAGCAAGCCAATGTCTGGGGGCAGGGGAAATTTCTCCATTGTGCGGGAGGGATGAACAGCATTTAAGGGCTCAAGGCTGCATTGACATTGCTTTAGAGAATGTCATATAGGCAAATCAAACTGATGGGTGGGCCCAGGATTTTGTTAAGGTTCTATATTGGGGGGAAAGAATGAGGAGGGTTTTGCTTTTTTAACACCTTACTTGCTTGACAATGACTGTATGCTTCCTGGATCAAAGCTGCAGGACTGCATCAGACAGATTTGTGTCATGTTCCTGGGGGCTCTAAGATTTAGAGTTGCTCATTCCTGTTCTTCAAAAATGATTGTTTCCAGGAGCGTTGGATGGTTCCCAGCCCTATAGACTGCACTTTGAACAGGCTTGGTTTAAGTTCAGGGGTAGTCAACCTTGGCTCTTTTATGACTCGTGGACTTCAACTCCCAGAATTTCTGAGCCAGCACAGCTGGCTCAGGAATTCTGGGAGTTGAAGTCCACGAGTCATAAAAGAGCCAAGGTTGACTACCGCTGGTTTAAGTTCTCAAGAAATGGGCAGGATCTTAGAGAAACCCAGCTCAAGAGGGTTAAGCTAGAGACCCAACTCACCTTCCGCCAAAATCCTCCATGGAGCCATGAAAGTGAGATGAAGTGGGGTCTTGGAAAAGGGAAGCAAGTTCTGGAATTTCTCATCCAGGCGGGGTACAAAGGGTGGGACAGAACCATGCCCAAATCGGAAGGCCAAGGAGAAAACATTTGAAATGGAGGGGTTCACTTTCTTATTGTAGCCTCTGTACACAGGTAACCGTTTATAGAATTCGTTGCCTAGCAGCAGAGGTAGGTAATCTCTGTATGTGTATATCTACAATGATACAAAGACAATGTAAGTCCCAAAGGCCTCAACCTACTTATTTGTTTTCTTTATTTATTCCTATCTGATGACTTAACACCAAGAGTACTCTGAGCATTCAGAAAGTAAGGACAAATTACAAACTAATTTAAGAAACAATGGTAGGTCTTTTGATCTGATTTAACATCAATCTTACATAATTCTTTTTGCTTCTTGGAAATAGTATATGTAGCCAAATATCTAGTTTTATATCCTGCATAACTCCAAGCAGATTGGATAGCTTGCAAATTGTTTAAAATACTAAAAACAAACAACCCAAAACAAAAAGAAGAGTAAAGGAGGCATTATGACAAAACCAAATGGGAACGAAGGAAACCACCGTTAAAAGGAGGCGTAAATCATTCTCAACAAAGGCCCGAATGAACAGCCTGCACTATAAGACTTTTGAAACACCAGTTGGGGTAGGGGAAAATGGGAATCTTGGGGGGAGCCTCCTTGTAGAAGGCAGGCACTCCTATACAGGAAGCACAGCTTATCCAGCTTTTTTTTTTTTAAATGTGCCCTTCATTAACCTCCATCCTTTAGAAGAGTCACTTTTCTGCCTGCCATCTGGGTTGCAAAATTCCACACAGTTCAACTACTACAGTGTTTCCTAACTTTAGCAACTTTAAGATGTGTGGTCTTCAACTCCCAGAATTCCCCAGCCAACATACTGTTCTGCTCTCCTGATAGCTTAGGGGACAAGTTGTGAAGGAAGTAAGGCTCAATAGGAAGTTCCAAAAATCTGCATGTAACTCAACACTACCTTCATTTATAAAATCCTGTCCATGGGATTTATTCAGTCCTACAGATGGGGGGAAGAAACCTCTCTCATACATCCCTTACATCACACTGCTTTGTTTTCACTTGGAGATGAAGAATCAGACTTAAGGCAATTTCCTCACTCTTGATAGATAGCATCAGCCAGCCGTAGCCAAAGCACAAACGGCCTGCCTTCACTACTGCACAATGTTGATTAGTGGCTCCAGTAAGACCATGCCTCTCAAAAACTATGGGTCAGAGGAATAGATGGAGAACAGTGAAAAAAGCACCATTCTGACAATTTAAGATAGCAGCATCAAGAATGGGTGGATGAAATCCTTCAAGGAAAAGGAAAAAAATATTTTCAGACACGGGTAGCCTGTATTTCTATCATGTTCTTTGCCCGCTCTAGACAAATTGATAATAGAATTACCTTAATAATATTCCATTCTCAACAATTGAAACCATTGAAAACGGAATGCCTGTTGCTTCTCCTGAAGTGAGATCCAACTTTCTTGTGGCTTGAGTTCATCTACCATCTATTTTCCAGTGGGATTTGTTTCAGTAAGGTAAAGCATTCAATATATTTACCCTATGTTTTAGAATGCCATGTGTTATTTTTAGGTATTATTTATAGAGTAACTAGCCATTTTCTGAAACGTGCTAACTTAAATAGCAAGTTATATGTATATTTATGTTGTCCTTAATGGTGGAAAGTGCCCTTTGAATATTAAGAACAAGTCATGCAAGAGAAAAGATTGGACAAGACTTTTTTTCCCCCTTCATTTGTTTTCTATCTGAAAAGACATCTAATTTGGACAGAGTATTCAGTCCTGCAATATCCTTTTGGATACTGCTGAGTGAACAAAATGTTATGTAAAAGCAGCAAAGCTGTGAGATAAAAATGAGAACATTCCATACCTGAATGAGGGCACCAATGATCTTCCGCGTTTCTTGATAGAGTGTCTCTCCCTTCCAATGGGGATTCAACGTCTTCAGTTCCCCGGCTATCCGGTTGTGCTCCCGAAGAAAGAGAGTGTGAATAGCCGTCAGTCCCAGGTTTTCATTGGCCCTTCCATCTCCTGCAAAGTTAAACCATCACACATTCTGTTTGGTTTTAGCAATTCAAACAAACAAACAAAAACAAATATTCTAAACATTTCAGAAAGGAAGCTGGAAAATGTTATCTTTCAGGATATCCTATTATGTGGATTCTTGCAGCTTGAATGTGGTATCCCTACCGTAGTAAGGGAATTTGGCAGGAACATGTTGAATGTTGGTTGTGAAAGGAGGCATTGGTCCCAGGATGTTCACGGGGTGGGTATATATGGCACCTATAACTGTGCAACTGAAATCACATTCCTTTTTTACATTCACCTCTCCAGCAGTGGCTTTCCAGAATTTCAAGAGAGCCTTTTCTTGTTCTTCCTAAAGATGTTAGAGATGTAACCTGGGGTTCTTCTGACTGCCAGACAGACTCTTATACTACCAAACTCTAATTCCTCTCTGCGTCTTCCTATATCATCCCAGTGTTACCTATTTCAGATAGTAAGAGGGTGTCCAGCACAGTCATGTCCCTAAAGCTGAACTTCTGCATCCAAAAAACACATCTTGGCCATGCTGGGCTATGGATCTTTACCAAAACAGCATATTAGGAGTCACTATCCAGTGTTATCTATTTTGCATGTTTCATCCTACCATTGTTACCATTCACATATAACTTGCATGCAATGCCCCAGAACTGAATGCACAACACGCCTGATTTATTATTTTTTTTAAATAAAGTTTTATATTACTTTTTAGAGTGAATGGTTTTTCTCTCTCCAAATGCCTACGTTATTATTCGTACTTGTTAATCATGTTCTTATTACTGAACCCATGACAGAGTCACTTTGATGTTATAAATGTAATGCATTAATTAAACAAATACCTGCTTTAAAACATGGGATTTTAGCAGTTTTATTTGTATGCAGACAGAGGCTATAGGAGTTGATCTCAAAAGGCAAAAGAGCCAGACCGGCATCAGCAAAGTTCTGGTTGATTGCCATGAGACCAAGTGAGTTGCTTTGGTTCCGCAAACTCTTTGCTAGAGGCTCTTCACTCCCATACACCATACTGGCATCCATGAATGAGGTGATTGAATTGAGCTGCTCACGGACAAATGTTTTGGGGTTGCACACTGCAGCTGTCCTAATGAACGGCAGGCAGATGCCTGGAGTCGTAATCCGTGGATCTCCAGGGGGGATCTGTATAAAAAGATCAATAAGTCAAAACTTCCACGTGTTTCTGATCCCAGTCTAATCAGCATCATGCCTGAACTCTTTTTTTAAAAAAAAGTATTAAACTGATCATACTATTAAATGCAAATAAAAATAAAGGTGATAGGAAAATGTGAATGAGAGAGAAAGGAGGAATAAAGGTGTAGGTACAGGGGGAAAGGAGAAAAAGCATTGACTTCCAAATTTTTTCAGCACAGTAAAGTACAGAATACAATAATGCAGTGGTGAGATTCGCACCACTTCGGCAGAACCGGTAGCTAATTTTTGTTGCCCAGGCCCAGAATGGACTTCCGGAAGCGGCATCCACACAGAGAACCGGTTGTTCACATACGGTATTTGAATCCCACCACTGTAATAACAGCCTCAACCTTTTACTTTACCAACTTAAAGCATTATACTTGAACTCTTAATAAAATAAAAATTAATTAAGTAAAAAGAAAACAAAAAACCTCAATAAACTCAAAAGACAGACTTGATGGACCACTAGGTTTTTTTCTGCTGTCAGTTTTCTATGTTACTTTGTATTTCATGTTCTGGCACTTAAAAATAAACATGATTTTAAATACTTTGATTTTTTTAGTTAATTTTTTAATAAATATTTTTTAAAAATGGTTTTTAAATTGTTTTTAAATCTCATGAGATTTCAAGTCTAATAAGATACCAGCAGGTCAGTGAAACAGTTTGGATTTCACATTCTGCAAACTTAGTTTTTCAGCATAGTTTGTCAACCAACTTATTTGATTCACTTATGGTATAGACAATAAACTGCCTGAATAGGCTAACTCGCTAAAAAAGTGAAGTGTGTTGTATAAGCCCAGTTTCATCAGAAATACATAGCAGAAAGTACACTAAAGAAATTGTCATCATCACACATTTCCCTTGACTTTACAAAGGAGCCAAACTAGCTCCCTAAATTTTAAATTTATCTGTCATCTATCTATCATCTACCTATCATCTATCACATTTATATGGCCAGACATCACTCTGGGCTATGTACAACAATCAATGAAAACAAAAAATATAAACATAATCATTATAAAAATATAAAAGAGTCATGGTGGGGAGTAGTTTGAATGCGGTATTGCAGGCTAACTCTGCCCACTGCCAGGAGTTCAATCCTAACCAGCTCCAGGTTGACTCCACTTTCCATCCTTCTGAAGTCAGTAAAAGGATGACCCAGACTGTTGGGGGCAATATGCTGACCCTGTAAGCCACTTAGAACAGTGGTCCCCAATCTTTCCAGCTTGGTGGCCCAGCCCAGCGTGTGGTGGTGTAGTGTGTGAGTGGCAGGTGCACGCACATGCACACAGCTCCATTTGTTCAAGCAGTGTGCGTGCACGTGAATCCTCCACTTGTGCGAATGGAGCTTTGCGCACAAGTGAAGGGTGCTTGCACTCATGCATGAAGCTCCACATGCATGCACAAGGGCCTGTCGCTCTCACAAGTGGAGCTTCATGTCCATTTCTCCCACGGCCTGGTTTTAAACAGGCCGCAGTCTGGTAGTGGGCTGTGGCCCAGGGTTCGGGACCCTTGGCTTAGAGAGTGTTGTGAAGCACTATGAAGCAGTATATAAGACTGAGTGCTATAAAAAGTCTTTATTATGCCCAGAGGTCGCATAACTGTTTTAAAGAGACACTACTGTATTTTAAAGATACTATCTTAAATTATTTTAAAGATACACTATTTATTTTCATGTTCATCTACTACCTTATCAAAATCAGGGAGAAAGCCTCCTCAGAAGGAGGATCTCTTGAAGCTAAAATTGAACTGTGGATATACAATGCTATACCATTTTTTCCCAGAGCAGAATTTCTATTACCTTAATTGGAAAGAAAGGAGGTGCATAATTGCAACAAGAATCACAGTGGACATTCCTATTATCTATGTTGGTTGGACTTTCAGGAGCTAAGTCCAAGTCATGGTCAACCCATTGCCCAAAGTGCATGAATGCAAGAGAGCGCTGGACATCAGGCGTCACATTTTCATTGGAAGTTGTGATGATCTCATTAGACACTTGCCGTACCTGCAAGGAAACACCCAGAGAGGATTAGATAAGCAATTCTAATCTGTCTGCATTGAAATCATTCTGTTTCCTAAGTGATCCTTCCTTGGAGTCCAGGTCCTACAAAATTAAATTAAAACTATTATTTATTTATTTTTATGGATTTATAAAGTTAATTGGCCACCCATCTTCCCATAGGGTAACTCTGGGCAGCTTACAGTTACATATAAGTTAAAACATAAAAAGTTAAAATCAGACATTGAAACCAAGGACACATGGGGAGGGCGGGAGCAGAGTGGAGGGGGGAGGGGGGGTCTGTTATTACTCAATCAAATATTCCATTGCACTGTTCCCCCAATGGGGTCCAAGCTAACTGGTAGAGCCAGGTCTTTAGGTCCTTATGAAAGGATAAGAGTGTTGGGGCCAACCTCACATCAGTGGGCAAGTTGTTCTAGAGCAGTGGTGGCGAACCTATGGCACGGGTGCCAGAGGTGGCACTCAGAGCCCTCTCTGTGGGCACGTGCGCCATCGCCCCAGTCCTAGGCCTTCAGCTGGGTTTTATAAAACCTTTTCGCTTTAGGCCTCCGCCGCCGTGTATAAAAAAAAAAGGTTCAATCAATCACTCAATTTCAACTTCTCATGGGAAAAAAAAGATCTTACAAAGTTGGAATTGATTGATTGAACTTTTTAGTCCCACCCAGTCTGCTGTTACCACTGCAACCACGCCCACCCAATGGGCCACACCCACCCGGCACCCTATGTTGCATAAGTGGGTTTTGAGTTGCAGTTTGGGCACTTGGTCTCTAAAAGGTTCGCCATCACTGTTCTAGAGGGCAGGAGCAACTGCAGAGAAGGCCATCCTCCTGGACCCAGCTGGAATAATAACCTCTTTTTTGTTGTTGTGTCCTCATACAGTTCTCCTCAATCCATCCTCTAAGGCAGTGCTCTTCAACCTTTTCACAGATTATACCACTTTTAGGATATGGCAATATTCGAGTATCACCAGTCGCCTAGCAAGGTGTCAAAAACGTAATGACCAAAAAGAAGGAAAAAAGTGATAAAGTACAGGTAGTCCTCAACTTAAAACATTTCGCTTAATGGCTGTTCGAACTTACAACGGCACTGAAAAAAGTGACTTATGACCATTTTCCACATTTATGACCATTGCGGTATCCCCAGGGTCATGTGATTTACATTTGGATGCTTGGCAACTGGTTCATACTTATGACCGTTACTGTTTCCCAGTGACATTTGATCCTCTTTTGCAACCATCTGACCAGCAACATCTATGGGGAAACCAGATTCACTTAACAACCGTGTTACTAATTTAACAACTGCAGTGATTCACTTAACAAATGTGGCAAGAAAAGTCATAAAATGGGGCAAAACTCATTTAATAAATTTCTCACTTAGCAACATAAATTTTGGGCTCAATTGTGGTTGTAAGCTGAAGACTATCTGTACTTTTAATGTGAAACTTGTGCCTGTTTCTCTGACATTAATCTTTTCACTGTTCTATCCCTTCTCTCCCTCTGCTTGTCTCAAAAAAGCCTCTCCTCTTCTCCGTCTCTCTCCGTCCTCTTCTGTTTCCCTGTTGTATTTTTTTCCTTTTCCTTTCCCACCAAAACGTCCTCCTTTTATATGGGGGCTGGACTAGAAGACCTCCAAGGTCCCTTCCACTTCTATTCTATTCTATTGCTCTCTCCCCCCCTCCTCCTTTTCTCTTCCGGGTGCGCCGATCAGCTTGCAGCTGTGCATGCTGATCCTGAGGCCTCTGCCTCACCCCTGTAGCCCTACAGAAGCGCTGATCAGCATGTAGCCACACACACCAATCCTGGGATTTCCACCAAGCCCTGAAAGCCCTGCAGCTCCAGCTGACTCTCTCTCACACTTGTGTGGCACTGCTGTCACTTCAGCTCATTCTTCTCCTTGCTACACTTATCTAGGATGGTCGAATACCACCTGCCAGGTGCCAGAGTATCACCAGTAGTACGCGTACCACCAGTTGAAAAGCCCTGCTCTAAGGCACTGTGTTTCAACCTTGGCAACTTAAAGATGTGTGGACTTCAACTCCCAGAATTCCCCAGCCAGCATGCTAGCCTAGGGAATTCTGGGAATTGAAGTCCATACATCTTCAAGCCAAGATTGAGAAATTCTGTTCTAAGGTAAACAATACACTATGGCAACT